CTCCGTGAACTCCATGAACTCCCGTGTCGTGAACTCCGTGAACTCCATGACCGGTCTCCGGTCACAGACCCCGTGAACGGTGAACGGGGGTACGGCACTGCATCCCACCCCTTCATGACTGCATTTTTACAAGGTATGTAGAAACAGTAGAAATGTATGCTTTTTGTTTTTGTTTGCTGCTGTGAAGGATGTGAGTTTTGAGCTTGGTATGTCTTTCTAAGATCTTTGTTGGCTGAGTTTAGAGTATACCCTTGCAGATGTTTAATTTGGGGGGGGGAAAAAGTGTCCCCTTTCCAGAAGCAATAAATTTCAAAGTTTCCGATTGTTTTGGAAGGCAGACCCCCTAGGCCTACCTTCTTCAGTCGAATAAATTCGAAAGAAGAAGAAGAAGAAGAAGAAGAAGAAGAAGAAGAAGAAAGGAGAGGAAGAGGAAGAGGAAGGGGAAGAGGAGGAGGAGGAGGAGGAGGGAGGAAGGAGGAGGAGGAGAAGGAGGAGGAGGAGGAGGAAGGAGGAGGAGGAGGAAAAAGAGGAAGGAGGAACAAGAGGAAGAAGGAAGAAGAGGAAGAAGGAAGAAGAGTAAGGAGGAAGGAGGAGAAAGGAAGAAGAAGGAAGAACGAGAGAAAGGAAGGAAGAAAGAAGAAGGAAGTAGTAGTAGTAATAGTAGTAGTAGTAGTAGTACTAGAAGACGAAGAAAGAAGAAGAAGAAGAAGAAGAACCCTTTTCTTGGCCTTTTTTGACTAAGATTTCATGGACAGTCAATCCCCTCTGCCCAAGGGAAATCTATGCTGTCTTCCTTTTTTTGGGGGGGGCAAGTACATGATTGGAGTCACACCCAACGTTTAGAATAGGCAACTTTAGCAGTTCCCGAAAGTTAATGGAGCAAAAAATACGACCCTAAATTATCTGCCAAGTGCCACTCTGGGTAATGACTGGTGCAGTTTTAGGCCCTTGCTAAATTGCACATTCCGAAACTCACACCATGACACCACCGCCACTTTGTTTTCTTGCCTATTTCGAACTAAACGTGTGTCACAGCCACAGTTTCCCCCTTCCCCCCTCCCTCCTATGTATATTTACATGCTCTGGTTCTTGTTTAAACGGATGCTGGACCCCTTCATGCGCTAGCACAGTGGTGTGACGCACCTGCCGGGATGAAGGTCTGCCAGGATCAAGACGAAGGGGATAATGATGACGGAGATGGAGATGGAGCTGAAAGGGGCAGCGCAGCTCCAACGCAGACTCAACACGCACGTTCTCCAAACTGTGCAACTGAAGAATGCCCAAATGTACAGAGTGCAGCTGGGTTATACCCTCAGCGGAAGGACTAGACTGGACTGGTACCGACAGTCTATGTATCCCCCGTGGTCATGACCGCGGGGTTAAACTTGGATTGCAGTCGGGATCCCGACCGCCAGCCATGGCCTGGGCGGTAGGGCGAGGCTGAGAAATTGTCCTATTGAAAAAAGAAAGAACAAAAAAGAAAAAGGGGCAACTACGGCGCTGTCACGTTTTCAGTTCTAAATCC